AGCTGCTTTTCAGCTTCTTTAGTTCTTTATATATACTGGATATGAGTCCTCTGTCAGATAAAGGGTTGGTGAAGATTCTTTCCCAATCTGTAGGCAGTCACTTTGTTTTGATGACGGTGTCCTTTGCTTTACAGAATGTTGTTTTGCTGTATAGAAATTATTGGTGCAGCCATTGGGAGGCAGAGGCAGAGGCAGGTAGATCTCTGTGAAGTTGAGGCTGGCTTGGTCTACTAAATGAGTCCAGAACAGCCAGAGCTGCTAAACCATGTCTCAAAAAAAAAAAACAGCAAAGCTGGGAAATTAGCACTTAGATGGTCATGTTTCTAGTGAATGTGAAAGGAGAAAAAAAAAAACTAAACAAAAGTGATGCTCTGCTACAGCTTTCTGCCCACCAAATAACTGAACCACACCTTCCTCCACCGATAAAGTATTTGTTGATGTTTTCCCAACCTAGAAAGGGAAACAACCCCAAATCCCCTTCAGCCACTGCATGTATTCCATAGTCTATGTTGTCTGGAGAGTGCTGAAGCTGTTCCAATGGGGTCAGAGTGGTCACTGATGTTGATCAAGTAGGTAAAAACAAAGCTTTCTGCTGAGTGCTTACACAAACAAAAGGTATAATGACAGGGCAAGGAAGGAACAGCAGCTGTACAAATGGGAAGAGAGGAAAAGAAAGAAGAAAATCAAAATCGCCTGTTTTGTGAATTGCCTTAGAATCTTAAGAAAGCAAGTGAAGAAACTTCACCAAGGCACTGATGAAAGTTCCTTAAGTGAAGCCTGACAGGCTCACCAGAGGAGAGCTTTCCCACTGATTCGCGAGGTTCATTTTGTGGCTTTAGGGTTTGTTTTGTGGTTTCCTAGTGTAAATCCTGACTTTATTTTTTAGCAGGTTCCTCCTTGTTAATGGATCAGGGCTGTAACTGATGCAGATTCTGTGCTCTACCTTTTCTTTGTGACTAGGGGGTACTAGAAGTTCACTTCCTTTGGATATGCATTTGGGAGCCTCAAGGACTATTTTAAGAATGAGTGAGTTGTTCTCTGTAGGCTCATTGTTTGTCAATGTGATTCTCTCACAAACCCACTTTTCAGATAAATTTGCTTCTAAGTAACAAAATGCAGTGAAAATAGCAAACATGATTCTTAAACTCTCTTTGTTTTCTTTTCTCTACATAATTTCAAGGGCATCTGAAACAACACATGGAGAATTAAGGACATTGCAATTATTTCCCATCATTTGAGAGGAAGAAGATGTTGAATTTTACAAGTCCCCTATTTCTTTCTATCCCTGATAAAAACTGCAAAATTCCTGCTTTTGTGATGTTAAAGCAGCTGAAGCAGCTATACTCAAACATTTCTGCTGTTTCAAACCCTTTTCCTCCAGCTCCAAGTTGAGCAGGTACATGATTTGCCTTACAAACTCCAAAATGACAATGTGATAAAGCTTCTTAGCCAAACACAGTTAGTTACCTTGGAAGAAAAAAAAGCCAGGAGTCTCCCAGAGTACCTGATCCAGTATTATGGAGAACAGAGGCATTGAAAATTCTATGATTGCCATAAAATTGCTACATCTTTAAATTATTTATAATCTCATTGAGGGCGGTGATTGACTCTGAAGTTCTCCTTATGTCTGTAACATAACCCAACACTGTTAAGTCATCTTGTGAACACTTACTTATTAGTGCTTTATATAAATGCCTACAAAAAGGAACCTAAGTTATTTCCACAGCTGACCGAGAGCATTTGTAATACTCCTACCCAATTTTAATTTTTATATATGCATACAGGATAAGGTAGCAGGTTGTAACATAGCTTGAGTATGAATACGGAAGGTAAAAAGTACTACTCTGTACTATTAAGTACTTGCAGATCAACTCTTTATTCATTCACACAAGTGAACAATCACATGCCAAGCGGTCTGCATGTGTGTGCGTGTATGTGTGCACAGGCAGGTGTGGACATGTATGTGTGTGTTTGTACATATGAGGGTGTGGCTATGTGCATGTGTATGTATGTATGTGTTTGTGTGTTTATGTGTGTGCACTCATATATGTGTATATGTGCATTGTGTGTGTTTCAAGTGTGCATGATGCTTAGCGACTCACCTCAAAGGGTTTATTTGAAAACTGAAGTAGGAAGCAATGATTTCTAACTGAAGCAATGCATCTGTCACTTCATATTGTGATGTTTGAGAAGACCACCAACATATGCTAGAGAACCTTTACAGAGTGAGACTTTACCTAGATTGGATATTTTAGATAGTTTTCATGGAGTCTCAGTGTTGCTCAGCAAAGATGAAGCTTTACCTGGAATTGTATATAGGTTATGCTTCACAGTGACCTAACATTTTGGTGAACAGCCAAATAGATGATGATGACATGTATCAGCTCAACACCTTCTGTCCTTAAGAACTACATGCCACCCAGAAAAAAAGGAAGCTATACAACAGGACACAGCTCTGTCAACACCCAAATGACTGAGGCAAGCAACCTCCCCCTTAAGTTACTCAGCCATTTCCAGCAGCCTGTGAGGTTTTAAAGCAAGACTCTCACAGTTTAAATATATCTATATGATGCTGATCCTTCATGTTTTTCTTATAACTCTGAAAGGCATATCAACAGTTGCTCAGAAGCAATCAGTAACTCACTTTACTTGCCCCTGAGTGCAGTGCTGCATGCAGCTTCTCAGGCCATATCATTTCTGTCATGGGTGATGAATTTGATTGTGGTCTAGATATTGATGGGAAATTTCAATTTAGAGAATTTTGACATTAATCAAGAGTAATTTTGATCCTCTATGTCAATAACTACAGGGCATCAATGAGATGGCAGTATTTATGTCAAAGTCAAGAGGAAAGTTGTCATGTCACAGTGTTTGAAATTATTCTTAGAGGGATGAGGTTGAATGGGAATCAGTTTCAAACCTGATCATAGCTGGGTTTACACGTTCTAAATGCTTAGTAGGTTTAAAATTAAAATGAAATACAATGACTCAGTATTAAAAATAACTATGAAATATGGTCATACAATATAGAAGCATAATAGAATTAGGAATTTTTATATACTATTGATTACTGTAAACAACATGATGCCCAACCAAGAATCAAAACGATTGTCCCTGTTTTAGGTAGGATTATGCAAAAATGTATCATTCACAGCCATGCTTTCTCACATGGGATATGCAAAGTTCATTTAGTTGTTCTTTTATAACCCAGACAGATTATGTTATTTATCTTCCTATATTTAAATTTGTCAACGTCTAGTAATGGCTGGAAGCTGCTCCCATTACCTTCACGATCAAAGCTTAGCAGAAAGGACTGTCAACTATGTAAGTTGTTTACTAACTAATAAAAAGAAAAGAGTGCTAAGGAACAAAGTTCAATCAGGGAAGATCTAACAACCACAGCAGTGAAATACTAAGACAAATAAGGTAGAAATGATTAGTGCTTAACTGCCTAGCCTTTACAAAATCTTTGATTTCATCTCTCCAAATCACACAAAAAAAAAAAAAAAAAGAAAAAAAAGAAAGAAAGAAAGAAAAATTGAAGAGGTTTCCATAGATTGAATGGCTGAAATTAGACCTCAGAGAAGAGATCATTTCTATGTTTGTGATGGGGATTCTCTGACTAGATTCTATAGTCTGGGAGAGAGGAGGAACACCGACGAAGAAGAGGTACCTGCTAGCTGAGGTTTCTCTGACTATATGGTGTCCCAGTGTGGCTGTTTCTGTAGAAATACACCTGTCACTGGATTCTGCTGCTGTGGTGAAAACAGTATTGTGGTCAGGATAAAGTCAGTGGGCTGAGGGCAAGGCTACAAGATGCCCATGGGAAAAGGACAGTAAGAAGGAAGGCCCCTCCTCCAGTCAGACTCACAGTCGGCTGCCTGTACCAGCTACTGGCAGACTAGAAGAGTCAGACAGCAAAGCCACAGTGAGGTTTACAAAACCCAGATGCTGCTGCTGCTAGGAAACAGTGTGAAGGGAAAGGAGCTTAAGAGCCGGGGTATCAGTTTACATGTGGAATTTAAGATAGCCTTTGAGGGACTCTTCCCATGAATCTTGTGAATGGCCACAAACACCTAATTGCCCTCTGCTCTTAAAATGCTACCCATAACTCAGGATGGATGGAGGACAGTTGTTTAAGGAACCAAATTGTATGTGTAAGTCTGTCTTCATGGTAGCTCCATTATTTTAGTTTAAAATACATTATATGGGATACAGGACTATTCCAGGAGGCCTCTTCCATAATTTGGGACCTGGGCATTGTTTCAACTCAAAATCTGTCAGATGACCTCTATGCCAGAACAAGATATTTGATAACAACCTAATGCACCTTTTCTTCAACTTACTTGTCTATTTAACAGATTATAATACAGTTATTGATACTGTAAATGAAACAGATGTGTGACTTGAATTAAGATAAATCTAAAACTTCTATATCTATAATTTCTTACATTTTGTGAATTACTAAAAATTATTAGTTTGGGAAAACATTCCAAAGTATCAATAAAAATTAAGTATAAGTAAAGTCCATCAGATTCACAACTACCAAACCTCCTTCTGCTATACAAAGGTACAGCAACTCTGTGCAAATCAGAGCAAAGATTCTGCTTAAAATAAGTGTTCATTTCTATCAGCTCTTAACAAACAGCTTCTGCTTGACAGACCCTAATCTCTTAACACGGGCTTGACTTATTCCAGACACTCAGAAAGGAATTATTATAACAACAGAGATCAATAGAGTTAGAAATAGATTCCATAAAAATTATTTAACGTCACTCTCTGTAATCTTAGCAAAGAACAGGTTCTTGCAGTGTTTCGCAGTGGTGGCAATGAGGGAAAAGATGTAACTCTTCTCATGCAAATGTGTATCAGTACAGATGGGCAATACTTAAAGTCATTCTTACCTATTGATGTCCCAGATTTTACTAGTCATGTCCAGTGAGGCAGAAGCCACGAAATCACCACTGGAGTGCCATGTGCAGGACCATACTGCGTGGCTGTGTCCTTCAAAGGTTAACAAGCATTCACCAGTTGAAAGGTCCCATAATTTAATTGTGCTGTCACCACTTGAGGTAGCCAACTTGGTGCCACTGTTTTCAAGAAAACAAGAAGACGATTTGTTTTATAAAAATTCATTTTTTTGTGAACTATATGTGCATTAATATATATTCGTTTGCAAGTACTAAGTACACATATTTACATATAGTATATATATATACATTATTTTGAATGATGCAAGTGTTTAATTGAGGCTTACTTTATTTACACACTTGAAAGGCTACATTTCATGATAATATTTGAGTCTAAATAATTATTTACTCTGATTGATTAGGAATTCATGCTATGAGATAAACTGCTACTGTGTAGCTTTTAAATTAGATCTTCTAGAATGTTCATGATTAATTTACCAAAACAACACTTTCTCTTTTTGCCTGAGTTAAGTTCAAGGTTATGTGTTACACTGTATTAAAAAGGAGACTTCAAACGAAGACCATCTAGATGTGTTAAGACCCTTTGAAAACATAATAAGGAGAACGCTGTTGTCATTGACCTGTGTAACAGTGATTAAATTCTTCAAGAAGATGAGGAATGAAATGGTTTCTTGTGCTTTATCATTAAAATGAGACTTTTTAAAGGTACTGAGTAATTTAGGATGAGTCATTGGATTTTCTATTAAGTTATTAGCAGATATTATCAAAGTTGTGGCTTTCAAAGAGTAGACACTAACCCCAGTTTAAGGAACAGTGGTTGTCAATGATCAGAAGCAGCTAGCGCTTCTCGGGGTGTGGGAGCAAAATATCAGCTGCAAGCAAACTACACTTTGATCATCTCTGTGTAAACTGACCTTGAATATTCTTTGTGTTCCCTTAGTAGGGTTCACACACTGAATGACAACGGCCTGCCCCTCAGACTGTGTCATCCTGGAGAAACATCTCAGGCTTGGACAGTTGGGATGCTCAGAAAACACCTTAGAATAAGTATCATGCATGAATGTGTGGATAAACTCACACTATGAATAGAGAAGGAAAGTATATCTACTGCAGCTTTCCTAAACCAGCATGATTCCTAACTCCATGATGAACACTAATCCTTATTCCCAGCAGTAAGCATAGATCTCACCCTTTATCAAGGAACCTTCATTATGAAGCAGCAGGAGAGCATTACAGAAAGCCACAACTAGTCAAAATGAGAACAAGTGACAGCTTGGTGTCCACCCTCCCCTGATATGTCTACAACACAACACCTGTGCCCAAAACAGAGCTCAGGGAATAGTATGGAAAAGAGGGCAGAAAGACTGTAAGAGCTAGAGGAGACCAGGCAATCAGTGGAGAAATGGTGTCTTATGTATGTAAGGGGGAGCTAACATCTATGGCATCTCAACAACATTGCTGCCTAAAGATGACCTGAACAATTCAAATAACAGTTGACATCTCTAGACGAGGAAAACCTCAACAGCGTCACTCCTAGATAAAGACTATGGGCAATTAACCACTGCTAAGAGTCTTTCCTAGGGACGAGCCCTCTGACTGGATGGCCCATATCAGGTGATCAGCCCTAGAAACATGTACACGCAGGCAGCACTGGATGGAATCAGGAGGTTATCTCTGTCTGTTTATTTCTTTGTATGTGTTTATAACAACAGTGGTTAAAGACAGGGGAGCTATGGATATTGAAGGGATTGGGGAGTAGGCACAGTAGGTGGGGAGGGAGGAAAATGATGGGAGAAATGATTAATTATAGATTAAGTTATAAAAAAAATGGCAAGATCAGGGAAGGTATTTGACTGCTAATAGTGAGCTTCTTTTTATTTTAAGTAGGACATGAAATTCTCATTTGTATGGGATAAATCGCCAGCACTGGCAGGAGATCTTAAAAGTGCTGCAGACATGGTTGATTATGTGGACTGAAGATATTCTCAATAACGTCAGAAAGGATATCCTCTTACTTTTCAAATTAGCATCACTGAAGAGCTGTCATATGACAGCCAGTGTTTCACAGTTAGATAGAAAATAAATGTAGCCTTTGCTTCGTAGCAATTGTTTGTTTATTCATGTACTTGCCAATTATACATTTAGTTTTTAATACTGAATACCAAACAATAGAAAATTGCATTTGTCCAAAATATTTAAGCAAATATAAAACAATTCCTTTCTTTTCTATAACCTGGTTCTGATAGGCAAACAGGTTATCAGGGATCAAAGTCATCAGAGCATCAGAATTACTGTTGAAATTTTTTTGCCAATAGCTGAAGAACTCTCCACATTTTCATATACTTATCTCCTAATTCAAAGAACAATGGGGATGTTGTATTTTCATTTTTATGAGTGTCACAAACTGGCATTTAATAATAAAAACAAATAATATTTTTAAGTCTTAAAAATTATAGCACATGGATATAAACACTTCTAAATGAAAAGAAATACAAATCTTTGAGTATGTTCTAAAATATTTTCACCTTTCAAAATCTGAGTTTTAAAATACTAAATACAGTATACTTCTGGTTCTTGTGAAAATAGAGGAAATTCCTAAGGGGAGAGTGTGTTTAAGAGAGAGAGAGAACATGAGATTTTTTTTCAGTAACGTTGCTGGTTTCTCCAGCACCCTGTCAAATCCCCAAGAGCAGCCAAAACCTGCCAAAAGAGCAGAGAAGATATTCCCTTTGTTATTAAGGTCTATATGTTGAAATCTCTAACTCCCAACATATTCTCATGTAAAATGTTTGTGTACCACTACCTGTGTGGCCACAACTGGAGCAAAGAAATTAGACAAGACAAGGTGATACATTCAAATGTTCAGGTAGCTCATTACGTTCAGGCCATAAGCAGAGGAATGGGCCAAGGGAAACACTTATTTTCTCTGTTTCTTTCTTACTTTTTAAAATATGGTGTGTGTGTGTGTGTATGTGTGTGTGTGTGTGTGTTGGAGGTGTACCACTGGGAGTGGGCTTTGGGGTTTCAAAAGTCCGTGCCATGTCTAGAGTCTCTTCCTCTGCCTGCTGCGTGAGGGTAAGGACGTCAAACTCTCAGCCACTGTTCCAGCACCGTGCCTGTCTGCTTGCCACCAGGATGACTAAAGACTCGCTCTCTGACACTGCAAGGAAGAGCCCTGATAAATGCTTTTATTTATAAGAATTGCTTTGATCAGGGCATCTCTTCACATCAATAGAACCTTAACTAAGATAGATGGATATGCCGCATGGTTTGAATAAGAAAGGCTCCCATAGGCTCAGATGTTTGAGTGCTTAGTCACCAGAGAGTGACACTGTTTGAAAGAATTAGGAAGATTAAGAGGTGCGACCTTGTTGGAGGAAGTGTGTCATTGGGCATGGGTTTTGAGGTTTCAGAAGCCATGCCATGCCCAGTCTCTCTCTTTCTCCTTGTGGATCAGGATGTAGCTCTCAGCTTCTACTTTTGCACCTGACTTCATGCTGCCATGCTCCCAACATGATGCTAACAGACTAAATCACTGAAATACCATGAGAGGCACAGTTATTTTGTTTTATGGGAGTTGCCCTGGTTATGGTGTTTCAACACAGTGACTGTAACCTTAACTAAGATAATACGGGTAAAATATATTTTCTGTTTTACTCAGCTCATGAAATGTGTATATTGGAAAAACCCACATTTAGTATTTAAATTATTTAAAAAGTATTCAGGTATATTTATGATTCATTTATAACAGCCTTCAAACATTAGGGCACATTGGGGAAGAAATGTCAACAAGTTTCTTATTCCGTTTTTGATATAGAGTTAGAGGACTGCTTCATGGCCTTGCAGAATGAGAGCATTTTCTACTGGGACAGAATAAATACAACATAGTGTATGTCTCTGGTTCTCCCTTTGCCCAGGGGTCATTGGCCACTGGCTCATGATGACAAAGGGAACAGAGCGATGAATGGTGATCAGATGGCCCTGTACAATGGACAAGACTTCCGGGAGTCAGCTTCAGAGAGACAGCTCGTTTTATTGTTTTAGGAGTAAGGTACAAAGGTCCCTAAGTCCACAGGTGGGAAGGACTGACTGGTCACACAAGTACCTAATTATCACACAAGCAGGGAAAGGGAGCATCACCGGCAGGAGGCTCTGTGCTGGGTTATCCTCTGAGCAAAGTCAGGCATCTGTGCCTAGAGATGGGCCCCATATAAGGTCCGGCAGAGAAGGGAAGCTCTGCTGAGAAAGGGTGGCCTCCAGTTTGAACAGGCCTCAGAGAGCTATCTGGATATGGTGGACTGTGACCTTAATAGTAGGGTCTTCCAACATGCATCTACACAGAGCATGGTCTTCATTGGTTTTCTGAAGTAAACATTATTCTTGTCAAAGTGTTCTTGCTATAGTTTCCAAATGATACCCTCTTGTTTCACTAAGAATCCAGAAGTAAGCTAGAATCACAAAGAAAATAAAGCAGGAAAGGCAGAACTGGGAAGAGAACACAGATTCTGGCCACAGGAGAGGCTATGGAAGAACAGCCTCTGCCTGTGTCCCAGGGGTTCAGGGAGGGGTGTGATTACAGAGAGGGGCAGAATTTAGAAAGGAATGCAGAAACACAGAAAGAGAAAACATTTTTTGTGTGTGTGTGTGTGACAATGATAAAATTCCAGGAATATTCACAGTAAATTTCCATTGAATTCTTTTCTGCAGGACTCTAGAAATGTCCTTTAATATTATGACAATGAGAGGAGCATTAAACAGCCATTAAACATGTAAGATAGCATGGCAAGAGTGTAATATCAACATGCAGAGTAAGAAAGACATATTTAATAAAAGAATGCAACATGTTGGTGACAAATCCAGTCTTCCAGCACATATATAAATACATGTGGAAGGGCAAATATGTTTTGATATGTCTTTGACCACATGCTATCTTATTCCAGGCTTTATTTCTTTTTTAACTGGAAGTTCTCACAAATAAATCACATGGACAAAACAGCAGCACCCCATCAGAAGGCCTGCAAGCTCCATACCTGCTTCTCATTACGACCCTGATGCAAAGCTTTGGGGGGAGGGTAGAAAGTAAGTCTTGTTCTTATACCTACAATAATATCAATCCTAAAGCAAATAATATAGTGGAGGGTAGGAAAGCCAGAGAAACT